TGCATGGTGTCCAGCCTCTGCTCTCAGAAGTCTGTTCCCCTTGCGGGGCTGGGATAAGTTAAACGGAGCCCGTTCCTTCAGTCTCTCGCTGCGAGCCGGCTTTTCCAGACCTGGAATCTTTCCCAGAGCTTTTTTCTGACCGCTCTCTGGCATTATCAGGCTTGGTTTGGCTGGTTATCGAGATGTGGGCCAGTTGTGGAATTCAGCGCTGGCTCCGAGTCCAAGGCTTTGCGACGCGGGATTTGCTTTGGGGTGCTGGGAAGACTCCTCAGAAATGTCCGTCCATCCCAGGAATCTCAGCACAGAAACTCTGGAATGATGGGTGCAGAGAAACTCCAGTCGCTTCCCTATGTCCGTCCGTCGCGGGGGAACATGCAGGGGCTCGGGGCTTAGCTACTTGCTGGGAAGTAGCTGTGGCCTCCCTGGCATGGGTGTCTCAGTGCCGTATCAGTATCAACAAATAGTTTTGAGCCACAAGCTCCTTCCAGGAAATTCTGGATTGGATTGACTGTGCGAGTGGCAGGACATGCCGGGCGGAGCGGAGCTTGGCGTGTGGTGGGGGGCTGGGGCGGTGGGAAAGTGAGCCGGCAAAACTGGCCTTACGCTGCCCTTGACCCTGTTTGACTGCAGTGGATAAAGATCACCCTGCGCCGAGCGGAGAAAAGGGCCGGTACAGGAGCGGCGCGAGTCCCAGCTGTTGTCGCAATCAGGATGATGGCTGGGCCACTCTGCCCGGCTTGGCAGGAGCGCGGGTTTGAGCCCCTTCCAGAGCCATTCGATACCCGGATCCTGAGTCCTTTGGCAAATCTGGACCTGAGCCAGGGACCAGAATGCGGACCCTGAATACGGAGCAAACAAAGACCGAGGTTAATTGGCAGTAATTTGCCTCTGGTAATTACTGGAACAATAGCTTGGCTGGTTCGTCTGGCGTCTGCAGTCTTTTGCTCCACTTCAAAGGTTCCGTACACGCTGCCTAGTGCAACTTTACATAATGACCCCGGGCCCTTCCGCACTCCGAGCACAGGCCCCTGTCATTTGAGCTAAAGAAGCTACTCGGCTGGCAAGTAGCAGTGGTAGGTTGTTACCCTCTGCAGCCCAGCCATTAGAGGAGGCCACTGTTAATAGCAGCCGAGACCTCTCTTCACACAGGACCGCAGCGTCCATAAGAGCAGACAGTGCTGTCGTCAGGTACTGCAGGGATAGAACTGATGATCTGCTCTCTGAGCACTCGGCCCCAGCCCTCAGGTTGAAGGGCAGTCTCCATCAGGGAGGCCCGGTTTCAAAGAGCTGTAATAATTAACTCATTAGTTAATTCAGTAAATGAGCTCTCAGGAGGATTACCCCTAAATACTCCCCTGGTCTTAATACAGAGCACTGCTTCAGCCTTTCCAAACATTAATCCTCAGCCCAGCAGCTTCATACCCATTCAGCAGATGGGGAAACTGAGTCACGGGGCGGGTAAGGGACACACCTGAGCTCAGAGAGGGCCTCAGCATTAGTGGTGGGGGGAGGGATAGCTCAGTGGTTTGAGCATTGGCCTGTTAAACCCAGTGTTGTGAGTTCAGCCCTTGAGGGGGCCACTTGGGGATCTGGGGCAAAATCAGTACTTGGTCCTGCTAGTGAAGGCAGGGGGCTGGACTCAATGACCTTTCAAGGTCCCTTCCAGTTCTAGGAGATGGAATATCTCCATTAATAATAATTATTATTATTATTAGAACCAGCAACCAAAATGAGGCGTCCCATTCCTGGGCTCAGACCGTGTTCCTCGGCCTCTCTCTTGCTTCTGTTGGGGTTTGTCTTGCCATGCCTTCAGCCCCTAGATAAACCCTGCAGTGGATGGCCCATCCATCCATCAGTGCCTGTCCCCGGGGTATCTGAGCACTGAGCCAGCCCCTGCGGGCTCCCCCCGGCTGTCGCCGGCTGGGCCCTACCCCGGCAGCTCGCCGGGTACGACAGTAACAGTACACCACCAGTCATTTTTTCAGTGTCTTTCATTGGAGCTGGTTCTCCTGGCGCTGGCAAGTGGCCGATTTAAGGCGGCGGAGAAGTGACACGTAGGGTGTTGCAGGTGCTGCGCAGACAGACGCTCTTGCCCGAGCACAGGGCAGGTCATGTGGGCTGCTGGGGTGGACTCTGAGGCTCGGTGAGCGGAGGGAAGACGGCTGTGAGGCACAGGGAGGGACCTGGCGGTGCTGACCGTGACCAAAGGTTAATGCCCCCGACGCGTGGCAGCAGCCAGCGGCTACTGTGACAAGCTCCCAATGTAGGAGATCAGCTTTCCGGCGTGGCTCCAATCACGCAGCATTTCCTTTCTTCTGTGTGAGGTCGCTGCAGCTGTTGTGTTTCTGGGAGCAGCAGCTGGGAGGGAGAGGAGCAGTGGGAGGGGGGCACGTCATGTTTTGGGGGCACCAGCTGCAGGGGACTTCCAAGCACCTTCCGGCACTGAGGGACACATGGGGGGACAGCCTCTAGGAGCTGGAGCTCTGGGTGGGCAGAGAAGTTGCTTTCTGTATTTGGTGTTTTTGCCCAAGTTCAATCTTTGAAGAATAAAACTGTGCCCGGGAAGAGACTCAGCCAGCCTGAGTGAGGGGAAACTGAGGCAGCGGTTAGCCCGAAGCCAGGCCAGGTAGGCGACAGCCTGGACGTAACAGGTGAGCGTGGGAATCCATGCTACGCAAAGGGGAGCTGTGGTGCCCGAGTCGTCCCTCTGCAGAGGCTGCTCCCGCTTTCTAACACTGGGGCAGGGGATAGTGCAAAGTTCATGAACTCTTCCTCTGACTACGCAGTCTGGCTACCATTGGTGCAAGACCTTTTTTCTCTGCCGCAGCTGCCACCCGCAATAGCCAGCCTGGATTTTCCCTTCATTTCCCCTCCAACAGCTCTTCTCTTCCCCTCCCTTCCGGGCGAGGGACCAGAGCCAGCATGAGCATCTTTGGATGAGCACGACAACCATTCACTCGCACCAACGGGAGTGACTCGCCGTGTCACGGGAGGCTTGGCACGATGCTTCTTTGTGCGTGCGAGGCTCCGGCTCCGAGGAAAGCCAGAGGCCGGCTGCTTGCACTGGGGTCTGTGCAGAGTAGGGGCAGCGTGGACGAGAGACGTTGCAAGGGACGGTTGGGCTCAGCAGAGGGTTCTGTGCGTCCTGCATGTGACGGAGGCAAGCAGGTGAAACGCGCCTGCTGAGTGTGCCGGGGGATCCCGCCCGGCCGTGGAGGCTCATGCCACGTTAGCTAGCAATGGTGGCACAGCGGGTGCGGGGCACGGGGGAGTGGCTGCAGAGTGGGAATGTTCTATAACATACCCCCCCTCCCCCCGTGCCCAGCGGTAGCAGATGCCAGGGCCTAGCAAGAGGGTTTCTCGCTGGAGGAGAAATCCGTGGCACGCACTCAGAGTTCACGCGTCGCGTCATGTGTTTATACAGCGGCCTAGGGCCCAGGTGGTCACAAAGGGCAAGGAAGCAACCGCTGCTTTAGCCGTCCCAGCCCAACTCTACTGCCCAGTTTCCAGGGAGCAATGCTGCCCCAAGAACTGACTCCGGCTGGGGTGAGTCAAGCTCCCCTGCCATTTGCAACAGCTCCCCCAACCGGAAACTGCATCACAAACCGAACAGCCGCGCAAGCATTTCGCCAACAGTGTAATGCTGCCACCGGGTGACTCCCACTGTAATGGGACTAACCTGCCATGCGGTCGCCTTCTCCATGCTGGAGCCAAGTGCCGGCGTTCCCAGACCTAGCCCGGGACTCCTTCAGGATCCTACCGTCTAGAAACAAGGAAACCCGCCTAATTTCCAAAGTAGTTGTGAAAATCGAATCGCTCTCCTCCTTCAGAGGCAGATCGATTCCTCCCCCTGTCAGACACGTCACCTACTGTCTGCCCTTCAGCCTGGAACGTGCCAGGAAACCGTCAGATCCCCCACCTCGGCCCCTGATGTGAGCAGGGGACTTGCGTTGGAAACAAAGGGATGCAGGGTTCAGGCAGAGAAAAGGAAATCCTTTACACTTAACTTGGTGTAGTTCACTACCGGGGGGGTGGAGTGGGGGGGTCATTGAGGCAAAAGCTGAGGCTGGACTCCAGATTCTGTAACTTCTTTGCTGTGTGAGCTGAAATGGTGTTTCAAGGGGAGCCACTCTCATGCTGCAGGGCCGATCACCAGCCGGGGTCAGGAGGAATTTCTCCTTTCCTTGGTATAACACAGCGCAATTGCTCAGGCTCATTGATGTGTTCCCTGCCACCTCTGAAGTGTCGGGGGTAGGTCACCACCAGAGCGGATGGAACCACATGGAACGCTCCCCGTTCTTGGCATCAGAGGCCCTGCTGGAGTGTTGCACGCCGATCAGTGATGGGCTGGGCGCGTGGGTTAAGCTAATCCAGGAAATGATCATGGGGGTTTTGCAGATGTGTGTGCGAGTCCCGTGCTGGCGTCTCAAAGCTGTGCTGTGATTAGAGAAATGACCTCTGGAGGGGGTTGATTTCAATGTACCACCAGCCTCTGGGTGTGTAGGAGCCTGTGTGAAAAGCAGTAGCCGGCCAAGTACGCTCAGATTAATGCCTGCAGTTAATACAGCGGCTCTCCCTCACATAGACCCTGGGCGGGCCAAGGATCGGGGAAGACAGAGCCAGGGCCCTGGCATGTTTGGGGCAGTCGGGTCCATGGGCAGATCTCCCTCTTGTGAAGTGGTCGAGCATTGTGCAGAATGGAAAGGCGCGGTAGCCGTTGCCAGGGGGTTCTAGACTGGGCCATCGCCCCCTACCCTCTGCAACGACCCTGCGCGGTTCAGCCCTTCCCCGGTCCGCGTGCAGGAGTGCAGCCATTCGCCCGAGCTGACCACAGCCACGTCGCTCGGACGTGAGGGGGGTCTCCATGGGCAGGGTCCTAGCAGCGGTCCCCCAGCCCAGGTCGCGCTGTATGTAAGATGACCGAGAGCCCGGTCTCTGCTTTGCTGTGCCTAGGGACTTGTGACGTTCTAACGCTGGGTCTTTCTGTGTTTGCTTCGCAGGCGGCTACCCCGTGTGCGCCTCCCGTCAACTCTGAGCTGGTAAGTGAGCCGACCCCTCTTCCCCTGGGCACTCTGGCCGCGGCTTCACGGTGGCTCTTGCCGCTGCAAAAAAGAACGCCGTGAAACAGCATTGGCACCGGGGGAGGGAGCAGAGAACAGGGCTGGGAACCAGGGGAGCCACATTCTTGGCTCTGCCTTGGAGCCAGCGGTGCCTCAGTTACCCTCTCCGTGCCTCAGTTTCCCTCTCTGTCCAACATGGTCCTTTCCTGTGGCAGGGGCAGTGGGATGCTGTGAGGGAAGGAGCAGAATTATACGGAACCATCTGTAGCGCCCATTAGGGTGTCAGTGACCAACTAGCTGGCAGTGCTCAGCTGGCCCAGAAGGAACTGATCCCCAGTGGGTGACCTGGAGTCTCGAAGGGCGTGGATGGAAAAGGGAGAGGAATGATGGTCCAGGGTGTTATCCTGGGACGCGCGAGACCTGGGCTCGAGTCCCTGCTCTGCACAGGCTCCCTGGGTGGCCTTGGCCAAGTCACTTAGTCGCTCTGTGCCTCAGTTTCCCCTCTGTAAAATGGGGCTAATGGCCCTGCCTCCCAGGGGGGTTGTGAGGGTCAGTGGATTGAAGGCGGCGAGGTGCTCTGATAGTATGGTAAGGGGCGTGGGAGTTAGTAGATGGGGCGGTTGGCATGAGAGGGTTGTCTCTGTGTCGGGGGGGCACTGTTGCCTCCCGGTCAATACTGAACTACAGGATTTAGCAGGTGATGTCTAGCTAAGGGAGCGAGCTCCGCGAGGAGGAGTCACTCCCAGCTCGGGGCTAATGCCGATCGGGAAGTTTCTTGTGGTGCCCGTGGAGCAGGTCTTGGTGCTGGGCCTCCTGGGGTAGTTACATATTGCCTGCCGCAACGAGGAAAGCCCCTGCGGTTTCACTTCTCTAAACTGCAGCACTGGTTACTACCACCGCCCCCCTGTCAGCGGCGGGTGAATTCCCTCCTGACGTGACGAATCTGGGCTGTCGCTGTGCTCAGACCCCGGCGAGAGAACATGGATCCCCCTGCTCAGAAAGAGGCCCCTTCAGCTGCAGGAGAATCGCCATTAGCAGTATAGGGCCTATGGCACGCAGAGGAGCAGTTCCAATTCCCTCCCGTAGAGGGCAGTGGTGCACACACACACTAGCCGTTTATATGTAGGGGTGGCGTCACAGTCGCAAACGGCTGGTGTATGATGCATTTTGGCCTCAGGATCCTCCGCTGATGGCCTGTATTCACTTTCGGAGGCCTCGTCTCAGCGCAGCGACTCTTGAGGAATTGTTGCTTGCCACAGATCGGCGGTTCAACTCCCCGCACCACTTGCTGTTGGGTCGGCATGGGAGAGTTATTCAGAGCTCAGAGGTGGCTCCGTTCTGGTTCAGCCCGCTCTGCGGGCCTAATCCATGTGCCATGGGGGGCGATAGCAAAGGGGAGGCGGGGGATAGGAGGCAGATGCAGCAGGCGTTCCTGTTCTCAGGGCCTGGCCTCTCCTCTGCCACTCCCCCTGAGCATTGGCCGTCACAGGTGGGTCGGGAATTGCCGGGAACAGGTGTCTATCTCGGTGCGCTCGTTTTCTGGCCCTGTGCACTCGGAAAGCCCTGCAGGAAATTGGCCTGGGAAACCTGCATTCAGGTCGGGACCCAGTTCTCCTTGCCGAATTCTAGGGGACGGTTAGTCAGGATGTTTGGTCTGGTCCAGGATAGAAACAGGGCCGAGGTGCCATGCTCGGATCCAGATCCAGGTTAGGATCTGGCCCGGCCCAAACCCGTGGGCTCTTGGTCCGGGGATCAGTTCAGCCTGGGATAGAGATATGGGTCAGGGCTAGATCTGCAGCGGGACCCCGAGCCCCCATGAAGTCTGGGGAGGGGCTTGGGCCACGATCCATTTATAACACATGAGCCTTAACCCACCCCAATGACATTCCGTTCCCATCGCCCCAGGGGCACGCTCGGAGTCCACCACCGCCGAGTAATTCTTGTCCTCGCCGCACCCCGGTGGTCTCCTTTGACATTGGTGGGCCGGGGCGCGGGGGTCTGCCATTGGAGAATCTCTTCCTGATGTGGGCTCACCCAGTTTGCAGTTCCCTTCTTTGTGCGTGACGCTCTGCCGTCCTCAGCAGCCGAAACTCGTATGTGCCACGGGCAGAGAACAGCGGGGACCCACCAACGCAGCGGCAGGGAATTGACTAGGTGAAATAAAGCCGGATGATGCCAGTTGATGAACCGTGCCCCCGCCAGCCCCGCTCCTGATCTGACCCGGGGGGAAATGCCGACTAGGATGGTGACCCTTTGCCTCACCCGCCGTCTGCAGGACAGCCTGGAAAGCCCTTTGGCTCTGCCCCAGGCGGCAAGAGCAGTGAATTCCTAGGGCGGGTTGGTGGGCAGTCACGGAGCAGGGCATTCGAAAAGCGATGTGGGGCCGGCGCTGCGTCTGCCCTGTGCCCGATTGACAGCCGAATCCCTAGGGAGGGGCTCTGAGCACTGAGCCATTGTGGCCCCGATCCAGCAGGGCACTCGCGCACGGGCCGCGGTCAAAGGGACTTTAACTCACACGAAGAGCTGGGCGGGAGCAGGGCCTTGGCTTTTTGCCTCCTCCGGGCTCTTCGAACCTGCGGGCCGCCCCTCCGAGCTTGCGCCCTGCCCGCCCAGCCGCAAGCCGGACACGTGGTGCATCGGAGCCTGGCAGCTTGGAGATAAGGGGGTTGATTGGGCACCGTGCCACCGAAGGGTTATTTTGACATCTCTGCGGTTAATGCAAGGAGCCAGCGGCTCCACCCGCTGTCCCCAGGGCGGGCTTTTCCCTGCCTAGAGAACCAGCCGGGCTTTCCTGGGAGCTGGGTCCTGCCCGGTGTGGGTGTGGGGTGCTGAGCTGGGGAAGGGGGGCCTGATCCGGCACTGACGGAGTTAGTCTGCGCCCAATTTCTTCAGCAGGCCTCCAGCTGCCGGAGGGCACCAGGGGGCTGAGGGTGGGTCTGACTCCATTCAGCAGAGGACAGCGGCTCGCCTGGGCCGTAGCTAGGATGTTACCTAATGGTAGCTCCGCCCGACAGCAGCACTGCTCAGTGACTCTCCAGACCAGTGGTCCCCAAACTTTTCAGGGTCGTGCCCCCCCTTACACCTCTCCACCCCCCCCCCACTGGGGCCGAGAGCGGGGCTCTAGCTCCGGGGGTGGGGGATGTGGACAGGGGTAAGGGGGCCACAGCTGGGGGTGGGGCTGGTAGCGAGGGTGCAGGGCCGTGAGCGGGGCTGTAGCTCCAGGGGCGGGGGGACGTCGACAGGGGTAAGGGGGCCACAGCTGGGGGCGGGGCTGGTAGCGAGGGTGCAGGGCCGTGAGCGGGGCTGTAGCTCCGGGGGCGGCGGGGAGTGGACAGGGGTAAGGGGGCCAAGGCTGGGGCTACAGCTTGGGGTGGAGCCGGCAGCCGGGGCCCCTGGCATGGAACCTGAAGTGGGGCCCCGGGTGTGGGGTTGGCAGCTGGGGCCAGGGCTAGGAGCAGAGCTGGGTGGCGCTTCCTCCCTGCCCCCCATGGGGGCTGGCCCGTGCCCCAGCCGTGCCCCCCCAAATGGTCCTCCATGCCCCCCAGGGTGGTGCACCCCACAGTTTGGGGACCTCTGCTCCAGACCATAGTGTGAGGCGGGGGCACAGCTGGCGTGGAGGTGGGAAGCTGCTGTTGTCTGTGTGAAGCCAATGCTGGGCACCTTCTGGCAAACAGCAGAACACGACCATGAGCCGTTGCCACTGAGTTTCTGGGCAGGTCCGGTCCTGCCTTGCCAGCAGCCGGCAAAGTGCCCAGAGAGCTGGCGGCGCCAGTCCCAAGCCGCCAGAAGCCCTGGAGCAGCCCCCCCCCCGCGGTTCCCTGCCACATCACAGGAGTGGCTTAAAAATCTCGAGATTTTTAAAAAATGTAGGCCTGGGGGGATCTCCGCCTTCTGTTTCTGAGCCTTTCAGGGGGCCCTCATGTCCTGTTTTCAAGTTTTTCTCTGCCACCCTGCGTGGGCAGGGGGGAGGTTGGGCAGGAACTTGTTTGTTTGGAAATGCAAGCTCAGAGTCTCCTTCAATCCCGGGACTCCGGGAGCTGGGGCTTTAAGGACATCGAATAGCTTGAGAAAATCAGCAGAGTTGGGAGGACCCCTTGACCACACCAATGAAATCCTTGCAAAACTGTCTGGTGCAACCTGTGGCTGGGTCCACTCCGCCCTTCAAAGGCAGCGCTGGGATCCTCAGGAGGGCAGCTGGAGTCAATTAGAGGCAGGCGTAGGGGCCGGTCCGTTCCCCACCTGCCCTCCTCTGGACGGGTAGCCACCACCATGTGCCACTGCCAGGCCGGCCGGAGGGGGACACGCAGTCAAAGGTCCAGAACTGAGCAGGGCCTTGTGCAGAGCCTGGGCTCTGGTTTCCTTCAGAGCCTGGGGCGTTTTCACCCCCCCTCCCACCCCCCCCACACACACCCCGCTCCCCCCCCCAGGGAGACCACTCTAGCAGATGTGCCTCGGGCTCGTTTGCTTTTCTCTCATGCTGTTTAGATTGAGGGAGATGATTATTTTCACCTCTTGTTTTCCCTGGAAATCTTAATGTAAGTCAGGAACAATTAAGCTGACAGGCCACAGGGATCTCTTCGCCAGAGCGACAAACAGGAACAATTCCCAGCAGGTCTCTGCGGATAGAAGAGGACCAGGGAATTGCTAAAACAGCTGTCCCACGTTGTTCCATCTGAGCTGTGAGCCGTGTGCATCCTGCGCGGCGAGGCGCTGGCTTCTCCTGTCAACAAGATCCCCTCTGGGCTCCGCTCCGAAAGCCGCGACTGCGTCTATTGAAATGTGCCGCTGCTTTGCTGTTGTAGGGTTACTTGTGCGGGGTGGGCTGTGCTTTGTCAGTGGAGGGCTGGGCTAGGGTTATTATTGTAGGGTTCCTTGTGGGCACCAGGCACTGCTCGCTGGTTTTGTTATTGTAGGGTGGCTTATGCATGCTGATCTGCCAACAGTGATGGGTTGTTGCAGGGATGGGACTTTGAACATAA